GACATGAGATGGGGGTTCGCAGACACGTTTAGCTCAGGCCGTCTGCCCTGTAAGCTTGCGAAAGGGCATATCACCACACCTGCAACAACAATCTGGCAATCGCTCACTGGGGCAACTAGCATTTTTGGGCTGGTATCTGTGACAGATTTAGGGCCCCAATTAAAGTTGAGTTCTTATGGCTTGATAGTGAATATACAGGGCTATCGAGATTATTGTCCATGATAAGTAAAAGAATAATGCCGGGAATATCCCGGATAAACTGATACTTTTCACGATTGCTGCAGTCTCTCTAACTCCCTCCGCTAGCAGCGATGCCGTATATAAGTTTTTGTCCTGCGGGTCATGTCCTTGTAGTTCCGGCTAGGTGCTACGAGTTTGGATTTGGGGCACGAAACTTGCCAGGGACTGCGCATAGCAGCGTGGGGTGCCTGAAGCTGTGCGGAAGAAGTTGTACTCACCCTGCAAAAATCTTGATGGTGCTTAAGAGGGAGTGCGGAATGAATATAGGTACCATTACAGGGGCATGTATGGGGATTATATAATGAGGATTGCTGTGAATAAAGGATGCAGTACCACTATAGGGGTATGTATGGGGATTATATAAGGTATTGTGAATATAGGATCCAGGTACCACAATAGGGGCATTTATGGGGATTATATCTAGAATATTATACGGATCCACTCCCACACTGTCCCTTCAGCACCATTAAGAAATGATCTACCAAAATCCACATAAAGTCCGCTTTAAACAAGAACCTGGCCGGAACGTCAAACCAAGCAACACCCAGACACAACCGCTTCTGGAAAATCGCAAGAAATGCGACCCTATTTTTGGGACCCCCTAAAAACCAAACACTGGGTCCTGTACAACCCTATATAGCCCTATAACACCCTATGTAACCCTATATCTTTTTTCTGTAACCCATATTTCCGAGGTATGACTAGCTTCGCACTGTGAGATGAGCGTTGTTGCCACTGAAAAGACTGCTTTGCCCCCAAAGCGGTGTTCCTAGAATTAAAGATATATGAGCCATAGTCTGAACTCCTAGTATCCCCCTTAATAAGCCCTATAGTAGTTCTCTATATAATCCCCTAGAGAACCCCCTTTAAGGAGTTTAGACTATAGCTCATATGAGCCCAATCATGGATAATCAAATGGAAAGACAAGGGACAATTAGATGGAAACTGGGCTATGTAGGGGTTTAGAGGGATGAGGGTTCTCCAAAATTGAAGGTACTTTTTTAGGGGGTCCCCACAATAAGGGTTACAGTACATTGGGATCTAAAGTGTGGTTCCCCTATTTATGGAAACTGCCAAATGAAGCCCAGCTGCATGATTGGCCTGCGTCTTCACAGGCATTGATCCGACAGAATTTGGTGAAGGTGGTTGAGGAACAGGATGTATCACAAGTCTTCGGTATGTTCACCTCCCAGGTTGAAATCATGGGCCCCTAGTATGGGCCCTTAATCCTGGGATCCTTATATACCTACTATACACCCTATATGTACCCTTGAGGGTCTCTAAAATCCCCCATAAGGAGGCTGAGGGCCCATATCAGGGGCCTATACTTCTAACCTTTTATCACCTGAAAGTCGGTGAGGGTGACGTCTATGGTCAAAGACTGCGACGGAACATCTGCCGAAACTTCCGGCAGACTGACCACAGATCCTCTCGCAAACGGAATCTATGGTGGCAGAAGATTGCAGGTCAAGGCAATGCAAACTCCCTGTGGAAGTTGAATCGAAACCACCTTACAACTGCACAACCTAAGCTACGTACAGCACTCAGTATGAGTGTTTGTGATGTCGGTTGAAAATATGTCACTATGCCAAAACAGCTGAATACTTTGCTTCCATCGCACGAATCATATTTTTTTGTAGAAAGGAAACCTTCAGGTGGGTAGCTATCAGGTGGGTACCCTTAAGGAAGGCCTATCTAAACCTCATACAGCCCCATTACCCTTATCGACACTTATATACAATGGGCTACCCACCTGTTTTTGCCCACCTGGAAACTCCCTAAACCCTAAACCCTAAATTATACGCATCCCTATTTAACCCTATTTAACACCCCTATGGCCCCTTTAATGGCCTGGTAACTATCCACATGGGGTGTCCTTGACCTGCTGTTTAGACACCCAGGCCTGGGATCTCTCCCCATGGCACGTCGCGTCGAAAGTCACCAACCATGATGGTGAGGGTGTGGGGCAAAGTGCCAACAGGAGAGAAATTGATATCATAGGTCTTGGAGCTGTGCAAGCCCTCCACCTCCACCTGGTGAATGGTGCGGGTAACTGAAATCTGGTAGGAGCCACGAACCCGCATGCGTGTCGAAAATGACATGAACCGCGCGCAACACAGATCGCGGAACTTATCTTGGGGGCCCCCACTCGACCGCCGCGCCCTCTCCATTCTCACCTTCTGCCCCCCCCCCACCCATCTATCTCTCTCTCTCTCCGCTCTTCTCTCTCTCTCTCTCTCTCTCTCTCTGTCTCTTTGCTTTGCTGCTGTATGGGGATGATGGGGCAAGCCCCACCAGCCTGTCGGCCCCCCTGTTGAACATGGTTCGAGCTTGGTCTGTGTGAAACTTCGGCTTATCACTGGTTCCTGTCCAAAAGACATTCAACATGAAAGGTAAGTCTAACAAGTCAAATCAACAACAAGAGGATTACAGCATAACTTGTCGATTCCAACGCGTGTTTTTATGCGCAGGGTTCCAATCTCTGAATCAACGCATAAACAGAATACCCGGATCCAACAAATGACGTACGTAAAGTGGAAACTATTAATCATCATTGGTTCCCCTGACTGGTTTCCTCAAAAATGATCGGCCAAGTTTGCGAGCCGCAAAGTTAGGTTCTGGGTCTGCATGATGAAGTTCCGGCTTCTGCGAGGACTAGAGTGCTCAACTCATGCAGGAATACATGCCGACAACAAACCGCACACATCGTTGACACAAGGGTTCCCCACGTCCATTGTACTCCTTCTTGTTTGCTGTGCAACATGGGTGCCCCCTGGAAAACAAAACTGTCTCTCTCCCTGCAAAGCAGCGTGTGCCTTACACTAACCCAAAACCCTTTTTCTCCCCAAGCCACACAACTACGGCTCAGGAGGTTCACAGAGTGAATTGCATGCATACTGAATTATAGAACATTATTCCTCAAGGTTAAATGGAGGAAGGACAGCCTTCAGGGGTTGCTGATTTTGGCGGCAACAAAGTTTTAAAGAGTGAGTAGAGCATAACTCTTTCGGATTTGCACCATTTGTTGGTTCCCGGCTGTGATACATTGAAGTATCATTGGTTGGTTCACGGCTGTTATACATCGAATTACAGGGTCTCAGGAGTTCTCGTTGTCTGTACGCAGCTTTTCTCCGGGTGTTCATGACCCTGCGTCAAGTTCCGCCATCTCCTCTCTTGTGTGGTAGTCCTGGGGTCCTGGATCAGGTTAGTGACGGTGATCTGACAGAGTTTCTTTTGTTTCCGCGCAGCTGCGGTTGCCCTAGAGAGTTTTTCAGCCTTGCGGTGAGGACGAGCAGGAGGTTAGGCGCGTAGTGTTCCAACGTGTAGTAGGACTGGCAACCATTCGCACTGGCTCCACACTTCCGCGCACAGACAGGGGGGGTTCCTAGGTCTGTCTGAGTACAGCCTCAAGCCGCCTCCACTCAGGTCAACGTCTGCACTGTACTCCTTCAGGGAGCAGTGACTTGCCCAGCTTTTATCTCCCTCCAGCTGTTCACATTTCTTCCCATTGTGATTCTTCGCAGTTGCCAGCACTTCGACCGCCTCCTGTGCAGAAGAGGCCCCTGCTTTTCCTGCACTGATTTCAGTGTATTGGTGTGGTATCAGTAGCATGCACCAAATTTGGCATCGATTTGTCTCGGGCTTCTGACTTGATTGAAAATACTTGCATAGCTCTCTGATTGTATCGGGTGTCCTTTTCTGTGCAGTCGATGTTGACCTTGTCGAACAGGCTCTTGCCTATCAACTCTCCTGTACGTTGAAAGTCCAGTCAGTGTACCTTGCTTCGAATTTTGATTGCATATCTTTGTTGCTGCTCCGCACTCTCCTCCTTGCTTGACGTTTGTCTTTCTACTTCACATCCTTGGGGGATTCCCGACTCCATGTTCCTCATTGTGCGCGAAGCTCGCATAACATCTGCGTTCCATCCCGGTTCTCGCTTCATCCGGCGGTGTGCAGCGTGGATGCATGGCTGCTCCCCATCAGGAACTTAATTTCGCCGAATCACCCCCAAACCAATAGAACGAGAAGCTCCTGCCCAACATGCCCTCAACCAAGCATCAGGCTCCCCGAGCCTCTTAGAACCGAAAGTCAATTCTCAGAATTGCCAGGTTCACCCGTTTCCGCAGGAGGGGCTTAACGATTTTCAATCAATTCGGTAGTCCCCAAAGTGTGGCACCGTCAAGCTGCAAAGGGTAATGACACTTTAGCTCCCAGGAACAGACTTCGGTTCCCCTGGCGTGATCTCAAAAGGCAGCGGTCGGCTGCCCAAGCCACCACCCCTTAGAATGCACGTGCAACCCCACGAGGCCGGGGACCACCCCCCACCCTCGCTCGGGGCCGGCACCTAAGGCCGAAGGAGACAGTGCGGAGACTTGAGCCATCTTGAGCCAAAATGGCTACTCTTCTTTTTTTTTCTTCTGGCCATGTGAGCGCCCTAAAGGACACCCACGGGGGTTACACTCCCTGGCCGCGCAATGTTCCAAGTCACATGGTCAACCTAGAACACTCATCAGCTACAATCGCGAACGCTTCGCGAGCGCTTGTGGACATAAACGCAACAATTTCTGGTCACCTCCTGGACCTCTGGACCCCAGCCTTTTAAAACAGGAACCCTTCTTGGTAGCATTTGGGAAAACGAGAGGTGCTTCGTAATGCTGCTTTTGTGTAACTTTCATGCATCCGTGGTTTGGGGTAATACACGCTCACCTGCTCGCTGGCATCGGATTGGTCTCTGAACCGCACATACATTCTGCGACGGATCAGGGCACGAGAGCGATATATGCAAGCCTGTGTGCTTGAACACTCATTTGTCCTGCATATACACTCAACAGCTGTTTATAGTGCATTGAAGCCACCTGGCTCACGCGTGGCAACGGCACCATGAGCTGAACTGACTCTGTCGTGGCGCTTTGGTTTGTGACCTGCTCGTCGATTCGCAAGGTCTTTGTCGAAGACTCCTGGGAGTTTCTCAAAACAAGGGTTCCCTACAGAGCCCAGGATAACATATAGTTTTGAAGGGAATTATCTCTAGACGCCCTCCTGAAGGAGTATGGACGGATCATTTTGAGAAAGTCCCTCCTCGGCACTTGCGACAACGAATGCTTCCTGGCAAAGGCTTGCAATTTGCAACAGCAAAGACATGCTTAATGGGCATGAGTGGGAGAAATCTGCTAAAGACGTGCAGTTGGCTGTAACTTGCATTTGGTGAAAACTTGCCATAACTCTCATGATAGTTAAGGCGTTCAAGCTAGGCAGTAGTTTGGCTCCCGTCCTTGAAGCTCTTGTCCAGACTCACGGCATACTTGCGCACCCACGGATGGAATTGCAGGTGGCCCGATGCCAGGCTCAAGTGGTTGAGTTGTGGCGAGCTACAAAGGTAGAAGGTCGATTGCAAAGAGGATGACAAGAGCAAGAAGGCCACAAGGGCCAGGAACAGCCTCAAGTCAAACATCTGCGGCCCCAAAACTTAGCTTACTGTAGAAGTGCCTTCTTGAACGCCATAGAATTACGCGCCGAGGCACGGCATGGTGAGGAAGCCCACAAAGGATCCAGTCATGCGGCTTAGCGCATGGCCATGCCAGAAGACATCTCGGAAGAAATTGAAGGAGTGCAACTCCTCTTCTGTGTTGTCAGATGCTTGCAACGTCTTGACCAAGTCAGCCGGGTCTGAGGACCGACCTGCCAACTGAGAGAGCTTTTGGGGATATATAGCGGGGGGGCTATGGGGTTTAGGGATATAATGGCTAAACAACTGGAAAAGGCCATGGAAGATGAAATGGAAACTGGGTTCAATGTCCCCAGAATTTTCAAAATGTCCAGTTGGGAAAGAACTTTGCCGGCACTGTCCTTTAAAACGGTTCCTCCACTTATAGTTGGCACCGGCCTGCGTATATCATCACGCTGAAGGGAACCATTCGCAATTCTCCTCGCCTTAGTTGGAACATGTTGATCAAGTTGCAGGATCACCCTTGCGCCCCTCCCAGTTGCATAAGATGACGCATCACACGTTACAATACCACAAAATTATTCTGGGACCCCAAGATATATTGCAATCTGAAACAACCTGGTAATCTTGCCATTCCAGAGCCCCAAAAGAGAACAACCTATCATCGACCAGGCTACAACAACCGCGATTCGGCGCAACTGGCCTGCCTGGGTTGCTGTTAAGGAACTTAAATTAAGTTACCATAATGGGTATATGTAGTAAATAATAGGGTTTCCCCGATATAGTAACTTAACTTAAATTCCTTAAATCCCTATATT